CAGCTTGGTGTCATTGGCAAACTTGCTGAGATTTGCCTCAGCAAACCCACTCAATCCCACTGTCCTCAATCCCATTGGGAAGATCCTAGTTAAAATTACAAAGGCTTAGTATGCATAGATTTGAGTGGTTATACAGCTTGGAGGCTTCTTTTTCTACAAAGTTTTCATTTGTGCCCATCAACAAGGGTTATTTTCAATATGAAAGAAGTCAAGTCTCAAAGTCAACAGTTGTGCTGGGCAGCAAATGTATCAGAAATTAAACTGTATACTAACTTTCTGGGCTTTATAGGCTGAGACATTTAATTGAACTTTTAGAATAAATATTTGTATAAACTGGTGAAGGTCAGCTGTAAAGGCAATGTTATTATCTGGCTTAAAATGATTACCTGCAAAGTGTTGCTAATAAAAGGTTCTCATGTTCAGGCCTAGTTCTCTTACTGCTCATCATTAAGATACAGTTTACTGAAAGTGTAAGCAAGTGTATGGTTTAAACATAATTTCATTATGCAGAAGTCATTTTCTTTACTGCAAAAAAAAAAAAAGAGGAGAGCAATTGGCAGCATTTATTTATGAGAGCATATGTGACCTCCATTCCAGCTATTTATGTCATACACTGGCATTTCATCTGTGTACTCCCAAAGTAGATCTGCTGTAGAAAGATGACCTCTGTCTTATTTATGGGCAGAACAGAGCTGACAATGGTCAAAATGCTGAGATTCTGACTTCCTGATGTTTTTATCAACCCTCGTAATGTATTTCAGCTGGAAAATGCTGAAGTTGTCAACATGCAGTTTTTGGATGTTGTGTTTATGTTAGATTTTCTGTAATGCAGCATTTGTAACTGTTGTTTTTACTTCTAAGGGAGTCTCTTACATCACATGCACTGCCTCAGACATTCCTGTACAAGCACGTAATTCATCCGTTTAATTTTCAAGAACCTTTCTGTCTTCTCATTAAATGGTAATTTCCTGTATCAGAAATTTAATGTCCTCTCTAATTGTAGGATGATATTTCAAGATCAGATTTTTTTTTTTTTTTTTTTAATATGCTAAGTGGATTTGGGGGGTTGGAATTCAGGTAAAATACGTAATTTGATTTTTTCCTTATTGCTTTTAAATTTTTACTTCAGGTTGTTTGCAAATTAGTACTTTGACATTTTCATCACAAAATGACATACTAACCCTACCCCTTCAGCTGTGATGAAAAACATTATTAAGATTGCAATGTCAAGCTTTCAGAAGCTAGGGGGAAAAGAAATGGCATCTTGTCTAAATTGTGCATTCCTAACTTGGCCCTTACTTCAGTTGAAGTCGTTACAATATTGCCTCCAATTATATGAGAAGGTCTATTTTTTCCCTTGCCTTATTTAATATCCAAAGTAGACCTGTTTTGTAGATTAATTAGAATCACATAATGAAGAAATGTTGGGGTTTGTTGCAGAAGTTGGAAGGTATTTAGTGAACTCAGTTGGGGATTACAGGAAGAAAAAGGTTTGTCTATATTATGTTGGTTGAAGTTCGCTTTAAAGAGATGGATTCCTTTCTTTCACCTGCTGCAGTATTTCTGGATAAGTTATTGAAATCAAACTTTTCACAGATGGTCACTGGTTTCCTTGTTGCTCGGGGTCATTGTAAATGTTCTGAACACTCAGCGCTGAAAGCCGGGGCAATGGGAGCACATAAAACGCTACACAATGATTTTGCAAATGTGATGTCCAAAGTGAGCGTGTACATTTGACCTCAGTCTGTTTAAGCCTATGCTTCAAGATGTTCCTCATCTCTCAGGATATTTTGAAAGTAAATTATCTTAATTTTCAATAAGATAAATAATAAAATAGTGGTTGGGTAATTTTGTGTTCAGAGCAGTGTTTGAACTACAGATACCCACTGAATGATGAGGACAAAATAAATAGCTGCTCATGACATGAAAAGAATCCTCCTCCACCGTGGCATGCAGGTGCTGTACAAACAAACAAAAAGTTAAAACACATTGAAAAAGAAAAACCATAAGAAAGCATGCTGACAGCTACATAATCAGACTGGAAATATCTAAGATGGGAGTTCTCAGGCTATGGTATGTGTACCACTAGTGGTATGAAAACTATTTCAAAGTGGTTTTCAAATAAAATCTGAGCATCTGAGCAGAGGAATGTCTCCTCTGGTGTGTGAGTTCCTCTTACCGCATTCCCACAGGAAACTGGACGAAGATCTGGAAGAATGCATGTGGCTTGGTACACACGACATTTCCACCGCCATCACTAATCTGGTAAAATGCAATTCTTTTTCCAGAGCAAAATAAATGGTTACTCCAGGCTTAAAGGATGTCCAGTTAAGTGATAGGTCACATATTACCTCAAAGAAAGTGCCATGTTATACACTTACTCCCCTCCTCCAATTCTTATTTAACATGGAAGATTAAGTCAAATGGCATTGTGTCCTTCTAGGAATATCCTCAGGTGCGCTTCATGAGCTTTTGCCAAGTAAGCTAATGGAGCCAGTGAGAACACGGGTAACTTGTCTTGTGTAATTTTAAAGTAATTTGCTGACAGCTAAAGAACGGTGAGTATTAAATTACATCCCAGGCATTCTAGTAGAAAACTATAGCAGGTAGAGACTTTTCCCACCTGCTACTCCTTAAACCTGCCCTGACTCTTCTTATCCTTAGCTTTCATTCTCATCTGATTATAATTGCCTAGCATTCAAAGTTTGTATTCCTCAGGCTTCTCAAGCTCCTTGCTCAGCACGTCTGGGCTCCTTGTCCCAACCCCAGTTATCGCTGTCATTTCCTCAGCCCGTTCTCCCCATCCAGAAGCCCACCTTCCCCCATCTTTGCCTGAGTCTCAAGTTTTGTCCACACACTAGGGCTCTTCGAGACTAAGGCACTGCAGAGGCTTTAAGGCTTTGCTACTCAAATTTGTATTTTCAGTGAGCAAATATTTCCAAGAAAGTTTTTCTGAAAGTTTGTAACTTAGCAAAAGCTGGATGTTTTCACTGGAATGCTTGCTACACAATTCCTGATTAAAAGTTCCTGTTACAATGAGGTTGTTGAATAGATACATACATTTAACAAGTATATTTGAGTACTTTATATCATTGTGTGTACTTTATATCGCTGTATACTCTTTTAACTATGTAAGCAACCATGTACATACATATGACTATGTAAACTAAAAGTATAGATATAAGCTTAAGCAATTTTGTGCAGGTGACATTATCTGAAAAATGAAAATTTCTTGAATGGATTATATGCAACTAATGGGTAAACTTGTAATTAGTCATGCTGTCATTAACTAATAATTTAAGTAGGTTAAATAATATGTGTCCATGCATTTAAGAACCAGATTTGAAATTTAAAAACATATTAAATATAATATTGCAATCTATTTCACTTGAAATATTTATTCAACTTAACATTTATTCAAACAGAAGCAAGTATCCACTTAACTGTTAAAGATACATAAATGCGCAGTGATTGTTGGATCAATACAATGCATCAAATTGAATAGTGCCAACTGAGTCCTAGCCAATGTATAAAATTAAATGATTAGAAGAATAAGTCATTTTTAGTGTTTCCAACAGTATGGGAGGTGAAAAGATGCATTTCCAAGACATTCACAACTGACAAAGGAAAAATGTATTATCGCTTCCTACTCCCTGTCGTATAGAAGTAAATATATGGGTGTACGTGTTTGAATATATAGTTATAAATACACATACATGTGTATTAATTTGAATTTAATACAGCAGTAATATACAGTAATATGATTAATACAGGAAAATTTAAAAATAATTTTATTGGGCAATTAGCGCTAATGGATTTACTCTTATACTAAATAATCTATGCACTGCCATTGACCAGTAGCGTTATTAAAACCAGTACTCATTGTTATCATTTCAAAGCTAATACACTTAGGAATCATTGGGAATCACTGGCTTACATAAGTAAGCAAGCTTGCTTGCTGTCTTTAAACATATAAAACCATTCAAAACTGTGCAATATATATTAATATTTTCTGTCTTGACAGAGTCCCAAACAGAGCTGCCTGCGAAGTTACTGCACTTCAGGTACTTTCTAGTACTTACAGATGTGTCTGAGTGCTTCACTTTGCTGCTGCTTTGGAGAAGAGGAAAAAAGGGAATTAGGGAATGCCTGTTGAATGTTTAGGAAAATATTCTGCTGCATAACTGAAGTAGCAGGAGGTCCATAAAACCAGTCCACAGAAATGCTGTGTGGTTTATCACTCTGCAGTGAAGGTGAAAACTTCCCCATGATTAAATCACTGTTTACATTCCATTTTTGAGATTCATGCACAAACTGCAGTCTGTCAGCATACAGCATTTTCCACAGAGGATCCAGAAAATAGTGTGTTTGGTAAAGCCAGTTTGGTGCTGGGTAGGAAGGATAGCGTCCCCACGGCATGAAATAATTCACAGCAAGGCAATGCTCTAGCCCGTTTTGACGCCCTCGCTTTCGTGACCTTCGGTGTTGCCTGAAGTCCCCGTGAACAAAGTCATTTAAGTTTGATGGGTGGATACTCCAGTAGTTTCCTTTGCCATCCTCACATCTCCCCACCTTGATGAAACAATCATTTAGTGAAAGGTTGTGCCTCACGCTGTTTCTCCAGCCTCGACCTTTGTTCCTGTAGAAAGGAAAATTATCTTCAATATATTTGTAGATAGCAGCTAAATTCAGTTTATTTGTAGGGGAGGAAAGAATTGCCTTTGCAATTAAGGCTATGTAAGATAGGGGTGGTTTCTCCAGAAATCTTGCTTCATCCACACTCACAGAAAGACCATTTTTGGTGTGTATGTGAGAGCTGGGAATCTGGGGTGGAATCCTTTGAAGCAGATTTCCTTCTTCTCCTCTTACAGCACGGATGTCTGGACTTCCTTCATTGTTTTCAGAGAAGTCTTCACTCATTATAGCAGCATGAAGTCTAGCATTTATTTTAAGCGTCCTGATATTTTACTGCAAGTATTCAGTTGAATAATTGGTTCGCTGAATATAACCAGCAGGAGGAATGAAAGTTGGACTTTAAGTGTGCTGCTCTCACGTACCTAGATTCCTATTTTATACTCTGTTAAGTCAACATCCTTAACAATGAAAACTGAACTGCCTATGTTTACAAAAGTCGAGGTGCGAGTCCTAGCTGAATGAAAAAAAATACAAAATAATTATACTATGTTAAGTATGAAGATAAACAGTCCGTGACGTTAGCCTCTCACTTCATTACAATCTGAGAAAACACCCTTCAGTGTTCCCCGTTGAAACATAATGATTAATGAAAAATTGATGGTGGCTAGATAGAATTGTGAAAGGATTAGACACTCCAGTGATATGCAGAACAAATTGAAACCAACATGTTGGTTCCTGTGTCCTACACTTAATCAAACATGTTGTATTTAGTACAATAAACATTTATTTTACGCGCTAAAAGAAAGTACTGTGTGAAATGAAACTTGCTATCAAATTTTGTAGCTGCAGGGTATCTGTTCTTGGTGAAATTGAATTAAAGCACAAAACCCCCTCAAATTGTTCCCCTTTTGTCTTATTAACTCTCTGATCCCAACTGTGCAACTAGTTTTCATGCCAAATATGCATGTGACCGGTCCTGCTGACCCAGGAAACCACTTGAGGGAGCAAGTACCACTCAGAGCAGGGGAGCGCTGTGCACTGGGACCCTCAAAGCATGAACGGTCGCTTGGGCTTTGACATTGCCCTCGGCCTCCTCAGGTCTGACAGTGTTGAGGGCAAGATACTCATCTCATGTGATTAGTCAAGGAAAGTAATTAAGTATGTTTAAATATGTTCTAAAGCAAACCAAAACAATATGGTAGAAGCTTTGAAGCTTTTTCAGTCCCTTTTGATGTTCAACATATGTATTCCAAAATGAGATCTGTATTTCAAGGTATCAACAACAGCCTTGAGGATTCAGTCTTATGAGGCTGAAGTTGATGTTGTTGTTCAGGCTCTGAGGGATTCTGAAAATAACCCTTGGTTGCTTCCTTCAGATGCTAATTCTGGCAAAGAGAGAGAGAGAGGGAGGGACTAGGGCACCCATTAAACTGATCCCTTTCCCTCTGAGCTTGAAGTTCACGTTCCAGGTGATCATCTTGATTCGGCACTTGCAAGCCTTTTCTCAGGCTTTCAAGTCCACTAGCCTACATTTGAGCTGGTAGCCACAATGTTTTTAGATCAGAAACAAGGCTCATAATTAAAGCTGTTGTTCACCTGGGTAGGTTGTTAGTTACCCAGCATTTCTGTGTCAGAGCAGAATTGCCATCTACTTGCTTGCAAGATTTAAGAGGACTTTTCCACTAACCATCGTGAATGGGATGTACCTGGTATTGTATCAGCGACGTCTGTTCAAAAATTCTAGTGATTACATGATGAGCTACTACTAGTTTTTCCTGGGTCTAAAGTCTCAGCAAGGGCTTCTTTTGAAGGCATTCATTTGACCTGCTCTATCCCTACCAGAAATTCTCTGCCTGGCACATCCCAAAGTTACCATCATCTTTCAAGCACTGATGGCTTTTCATAGCCTTCTGGTGACTAATTTACCCAGTTTGTTCTCCTCCTCTCTTATTTGCAGCTGAACAGTTGCCAAATCATAGCAGAAATTGTTGAGATTAGCTCTGAAGTGTGTGATCTGGCACTTTATTTATTACAAATCATCCCATTTCTGTTGCTGCAACTGTAAGCAGGTCATGCCTACAGGGGTTCCTACAATAGTAACATCAAAAGTTTGATTTCAGTTCAAAAAAATGGATTCGCTATAGATTATTAGGTTATTTCTACTGAGATTTGTGTTTTTATGGAACAATGCAGTTGCAGACTGGAGAACAAATGTCACTTACTGTGACAAGAACTATATACTCCTTCCCCCATGTCTCCAACAAAGTAACACAGAATCAACCATATATTCTGCTATTTTAATACCAACTTTGTAAATGGAGAGGAATTTAAAGAAGGACTAGGCACACAGACTAGACTTTGAATGCCTACAAATACCTACAAATGCCTACAAATTAAATTAAGAATAAGCAAAACTATCTTATTAAGATTAAGGCTTTCAGTTTTAAGGGCAAGTTTTCAGAAACTGAGGCAACTGAAGTTTTTAAAGGGAACCAGACTGAAGAGTTTAGAAATTTAAATGTAGTAAAGCCCCAAAAGTTGAAAGCACAAAACTTGATGCAAGAAGAAAAAAATGTGTAGGAAAAGGCTCCATACTTGAACAGATGAACAATCCTTTCAGTAAAGGAGGTTTCTACAGGGAATAAAAGATAAAAGGGTGAGCAAAAGAGCTGCATTTGGAAGGACTGAAAGCCCTGATCTCTGAGATGAAGATAATTTTTTTTTTTTTTTTTTCAGATATGCCCTCAAGGAAAATATTCATCCCATGCTTCTGGGTATCTTGCTTGTTCCTCCTTTCTCCACATTATTTCTGGAATTACCTTTGTTTTCATCTGAGTCCTATCTTTAAAAGTGAAAGGGTGAAAATCTCTCTCTTTCCGCAAATCAAGGTTCCTTCTAAAACATATAAGGGAAATTCTCTGTTTTATCCTTATTCTTTGTGGGAATCTTCTTGTCACTGCATGAAAAGTCTGCAAAGCTTTGGCATTAGAGGGAGAACCACTTTCGCTGGCTCAGTGTCCAGTTTTATCTGAAAAGAAGAATCAGAGGCAGGGAAAGCATACTGTCTACTCTCACTATACAGACTTTTTCAAACCCGGGGAAGAAGATTCTTCTTCAAATATCCACACGTACCTTATTAAAGCAGATTTTTGTTACTGCATTTTCTACAGTGCTGCTAAAACATCAAATTGTTAGAAATCTGAGATTTCCCACAAAACACCACAACAAAGAAGGGGTTAGCTTTATCAGCCAGACTAGTTAAATTGGTTTTCATTTTGATTTGTCAATGAATGAAATGTTCTTGAAAAGCTGAATGGGGAAACCAGAGTGTTTGGAAAATCTGTTACTGTAATATAGTCTGTTCTGAATTTTCACTGTGCGGATTGTCTTTTCCTCTGTCAGTGTTTGGTGCTCTGTCATCAGTTTAGGTTAAAGAGAGTTTTGTCAGTGACTTAGCTGTAATTGTATGAATGCAGGCTATCCCCTTGCAATAATACTAATGTTTCAATTTTTTTATATTTACAGACTGCAATTTTTCCACTTGACACTATGAAAACAGCCCAAATTTTAAAGAATGAGCTGGTTTCTACTCTGGGTCGCAGAATAGACCAGTTGCAGCCATAGGACAAAGTTTCATAAAAAAAATAATCTAACAGTGCATACAATCTGTAACTAAAAGCAGAAAACAACTGCGGGCAGCTTTTGTCCTCACTCAGTCTTTATTACTGATATTTAACTTAAATCATGTGTAATTTAGAAAGAATATCTTCCTTTAGTGAAATGCTGTGCTATCTTCCTTAGCTCTGCATACTTTAAGAATGAACTGATGTTTCAAAATACCTCTTGCAATATGCCAACAATGTTTTTTTCTGAAGGATATAACCTTTAAAATCTTTCTTCTACCTCTTGTTCAGCACTTTTGACCATTCAAGAGTCAGCTAGAATAGTGTTCTCTGCAAGGAGAAAATGTTTTTATGCCTTATACTAATAGATTTATTTAATAGTAGTGAAGTTAGTAATACATCTCATACTCTCAGCTGAAGAAGTACAGTTTTCTAGGGCCCTAGGGAATACACTGTTAGGAAGCCAAGTGGAACCAGATTTTATACTGTTCATCTTTAGTTCATGCTTAAGACATAATTGTTTTTCAGTTGACACAGAAAGGTATATTCTCTCTCCTTCCAGTTAAGACCAAGAAAGATCAGCTGGTCAGTGCCAATAATAGATATGCCGAAAACATAGGCAGGTGCAAGTATTTTTTAATTAAAGGTCTATTTGACTATTGCTTTTGTTGCTCTGCTGTCTGTTTAATTAAGTCCCAACCTTGCTAACTCTGTGTCATTCTTCCCTGTGATGTTTACTGTGCTGTTCAATAGAGAAGCTATCCCATATAGAGCTGTCTAATTTTCTACACAGTCTTCCTCCATTCCACCTGTTGTTTCCACTGTCACTTAAACAGTGTTTAAGAACACCTGGAAACCATTTGCCTTGACCCAACATTTGAATTTGGTGTATTCAAAAACAGTAAGGCTTTAGAAAAGAAGCAGTTGGAGAAGTTGTCCCATTAAAATATTCTAGTATTACCTGTTGCTTTTACAGTCTGAAAGGAAATAGTTACTCTGTCGTCTCATTTAGGTATTTCTGGGCACTGTTTTGCAAGATGCAGAGAACAAACGATATTATTTTTCATTACAATATTTTCACAGTGTTAATGAAATTCTTATATGTATAGCTATGCTTGCATAGGTGTAACTTTATATACACTTTTGATAAAATACTTGCACTGCCATGAAAAGTTTAACCCAGTACAAACTGTCCAGACAAGTCCTAAATCAGGTGGAGAACAGACATAAACCTCTACTCCTCACCACTGAAGAAGACGAAGTTTATGGGTAGGAAATTGCTTTCCACAAGAGTGTAGCCTTTGTTCTTGTTGGTTTCCACTTTTATAACAATTGGTATTTCTTTCTTATGCAAAGGCAGAATTTTTTCCCTCTTTTATATGGTTTATTTCTTACATAGCGTTTTTCTGTTTCTTATTTTAAATGACCTTACTAAGTACATGCTGCTTCTCTCTAGATAATGGCGTGAGACTGAAGACTTTGTCACTTAGTGGTAGCACTTATGCTAAACAGCTAAATAACCCCTTGGTTCCCAGCTCCCATGTTTCTTTACATCCAGTAGAGAAGCAAAGGATTTGAACTCAGTGAATGGCAAGACGGTTACAGGTGCACAGAATAATCTGAGTCAATTAAAGTCACTGATATTACTTGGTTTAAAATAAT